TGGACCCATCGGACCCACACGGCGACGGACATCTCGACGCCTTGAGACTGACGGACGGACGGACAAAGCAACAACGAGCGACCACGTTCATTCCGACCGCGAGGTTGAACGAATTCTGTCGGAATGACAATCGGTGATGTAGCGTCGCGCGGTGGAAACGTTCACTCGCGAGTGAAACAGCGGGTGACGCTGAATTTTTCAAACATGTCGAATGTTAACTCTCGATTTCAACTCTTACCGATCTCACAAAGAGACCTCTCGCGTTGATTTAAAATTGAAAGAAGTTAAGATGAATGTTTTCAGGTAATCAATCTCATTACACACGCATGACACATACCGTACGTTATTTCACATTCTCGCACGTGGAGTCGCACTCGCGATGCGACGGAGATTCCACTACGCCTCACGTACCTGCCATCGCGAGTCGTGAATCTGCGGACTAGATAAGGGGATGATGCATAGGCTTCATTGCTGGCGCACGCTCGGCGGAACACTCGATGACGAAACGACGCGTCGCCTCGCGAAGCCGCTAACGTGCAATTTACGAAGCGCTTTTTCTCTCCATCGAGCACGCGATGGTCGATAGAGACACATGGAATCAGAAACGCGCGAAGAAACGTGTGAATTCTAGCGAATATGTGATTTTAACTTTACACTTTGGAAAGGTTACGTTATTCTTGCTAAATGTCTTGAAACTGTGCTTTTCTCTATTGAAGTAATGACAGTTGTAAGATTGTGAAATGATAAGTAATTATTTCTTTTTAATAACTTCGTAATGATTATTAAATTTATATCGACGAGACGAACAGATATTACATAATCATCAATGATACAAGAACTCTTTAATTTGATCTCGTTGAACATTTTGCAGTGTCACATTCGCTCGATCGACTAGCATATATATATATAATTATCACGATTAATTCGGCAAATATTTGAAAATGCATGCGATCTGCGTGCGAAAGCAGTGTTGTGGACAATGAACGATTCTCGATGTAATCGCGTTAATTAAGCCCGAGCTTGCTGGATTTTACCCACAATCAGCCATTGAGGTCTTGAGACATAGACACGCATGTACCGACCTCTGTAATTATTTAGCTCGCTACTGCCTCGTTCTCCCTCTTTCTAACTAAGTATACCTTGCAATAAACGCAATTGATCACGCAAATGGTATTTATCCACGCCTCGCGAATATCTCTCTACAATGCATGCAAAGCTTGAAAAAACAGTGACGACCTATTATCAGCACATTAATGCACAGCTTTGTATACAATAGTTATTAATATAAAATTATAATTTTTTATTTATTCATCAATTGAACGTATTTTTATATTTTTACTTCAACTTAATTTTATTCCTTGCCGTCGAGATGTCCAGCAATCTTTCACGGAAACAGCGAGATCCGATCTGTGCCATTTCCGTTTTTGCACAGGTAGTGGATGAGCATTTCGCAGATGCTATCTATATAATCGCGCAAAGCATTACGAAGATTTACAGTTATTCGGGCAAGCGAAGCGACACGGCATCGTATTATATAGTCAAGATTCTCAGCCGCGGAACCCCCGCGGTGTCATACGCCGCGATCGCTATCGAGATATCATCGAAGCAGAGCGAAGTGCCGAGGCACGAGCACTACTGATATTCCCGTATCTCCACTATGCGTCTCTCTCTCTCTCTCTCTCTCTACGTCAATCCCCGTATAATCTACCGTGCAACCCAACATTAACAAATACTTCTAGTGCCGCAGATCACTCGAGGGATTTGTGTCAAGCCAAACCACTTACATTTCCAAGAGTAAAAGTGACAGCCAGATCAAAACTTCTATTACGGTTACTTCGCCTTTCTATCATTTCGGATTCTCCAAACTTTTAATTTGCATCTGTTTAAATACAATTTGCCACTCTTCAATGATTCATCCGTATCCGATTCTTTTTGTATCTTAATATCATCTAGGAAGATCTGCATTTTCATTTCCGCGGTTAACCGCGCAAAGTTCGCCTCAAAAATCGCAACCGCGTTGCGGCTGCAGATGAATCATCGGATCGTGATTCATCCAGCCGAAAAATGCCAATGAGAAATCGAGGCGAGCAACGTAAAGATCGGCCGGTGTACCGGAAAGTGCACGAGGAAGTTTTCAAACTAGATTGAAGTGTTAGGCTGTTGCAAAGATTATACTGCTGATTATACATCAGCTACAAACACAAGCGCGGAGATACTTTATACTCGAAAATTAGCTTCGAGAAAGTACCTTAATTGAAACTAATAATACTTGATAGGTTCTTTGGCATCACAGATTGGTACAATTTTTCACGAAAAAAAATGTAGAGTTTTACGTACTTTCTATACACGTACGCTATCGATGAAGGTATTTTAACAGCAGCTTTTCATCGGCTTATTACACAGTATCGTAAACGCGAGACCGATCATTTTCCTCAATTTCCCTATTTTTCTGACATTTCGTACTCTCGATTCTCCGTCGAACTCTCTAATCCGCTCGATGTCTCTATTAGAGCAAATTGGGTAATCCTAAATGACCGAGAACGTATACCGATTACGATAATCACGCAAGAAATCGCACGCCAAGATATCTTTAACTAATTGCAAGATAAAAACAGATCGATATTGTGTCTGAGCAAAGCGCTGTCGTGGCGTCCTCGTCAATTTTTTCAATGCAGCTTCACTGTAAATACGCTTGCTGCAAAAACGTATTTCAAACGCAAATATTGTGCTAACGAATTCTAACGAGTATGATGAAAATTTGTAAATATCAAGGTGAGCGGTGCATAATTGAAACTATCTCGACAGCGACTTTAACGGTCGGTGGCGAGCGGTGCTGCGGTACCCTGTTGCAAATAGCGCACCATTAGCCTCCGTATGAGACGGGTATAATGTTATACATTACGCGCTAATGGCTACGTGTGGATTGCTGCTGAGCGCGTATATGCGAGACTGTTGTTCTCTTTTACCCGGCCAGCATACTAAACACCAGACGCGGCTGCACAAACTTTTCCAACATTTTTCAACGCTCGACGTATAATCTAAAATTAAATATAATAATATAAATGTATAACAATTTGCGATTAAAATGTATCTGTAAAAGCTGCGCCTCCCTGCGGTATAAAAATCGCAGAATAACCACCGCGTCGTTAATCCGATTTGCGTCAAAAGGAATGCTGTAACAAATGACGCGTGCGTAATCGTGATAAAGTGCATTTTAACTATGTAACGAGGAATGAAGACAAATGGGTAACCGCTATCACCTGTCCGTCCGTGACATGCCTTCGAGGCGTCGTCGTGACGTAACTCACGTCTAATTAAGGCTAACGAGCGATGCACCGAGAGCGCGTAATTAACCAGGAGGACGTAATCGCCAACGTTTAACGCCGCCTTCGCGCAACGGTTACCGTCGGAGACTTTTCTGCGAATCGCTCGCCTCTCTAACCAATCCTGACATTGTATTAAAGCAATGTCAGCGCAGACTGAGACTAAACGCACGGGATGGAGGAATGAGAATCTCACCGTCTCTCGTATTATGAGAAACGACGTGGACCATCGTCTTTTTTCACCTCGTCAAGCCACTCGCATGCGCGATCGCATCTTCCCGTCAACGGCGAATCACGAATACGCGCGCGAAATCCTTCGAGGGTCCCCCCCCCTTGCGTCTTCCTTCCTCGTTTATACCACGCGAAAAAACGACGAGACAAGCGGCCTCCCCCCCCCCTCCAACCCTCCCCCTTTAGGCGATTCCTTTAGGCGAGTCGACTCGCTTTCACGCGGCACGCCGGACCTCCCCTTCTTCTTCTTCTCACGTTCGTCGTCGCGGGACACCCTGTAGATTGTCCCACCACCACGTGGCCACGGAGGAGATTCGGCGGCCACCGCGAGAGCGGCGCGATGCATTCCAATGCAAATAACTCTCGCCCCGGGGACGCGGCGTAATCGTCGCAATTTCATGCTTCTCAGAAATTCAACCTGCCTACCTTACGTCCTCTCCTCCGCGATCCTTCTCTCTCCCGTGGCCCGATGACTCTCCCTCCTTCCCCCCCCCCCGGTTTGGGACTTGATAACTCACCCCTGAATATTCGGAGCGCCTTAATATTTCATTGCTGATCAGGAAGGAATAACAGAATCGTAAGTGGCTCGATGAAAGGTGTATTTATAACTCTCTCTCTCTCTCTCACTCTCTCGATGATGGATGGACCATACGATTCCACGAGTCACTTTTAAAACGATCCGAAGTACTCGTTTCCCCGTCTAGTTCTCTTGAAAGAGAATTTAAATATGAATAGACGCCCCGTGAGAATACTCGAGAGAGACACGCTCGCGTTATGGGATATAAATTACGCAATGGACCAGTAGGAGGCTGAGGATATCAAGTTTCAGCTTGTCGTCGGATCGGTTTTAGCACCTGTTAATCGCTCAGTTTGCAGCCTGCTCGTCAAAATGTCGAAATAAGAACGTTCGAGATGGATGGCCGTGAAATTTTTAATATGATCCGCTCTATGCCGGATCCAGAATCCCTTTCCGCGTGAATACCAAATCTACCACGCAACAAACGACAACCGCCTACCAACTGATATTTACCTGAACGATTTAGAAAATCTAAGCTTTCTATTTATTCTTTCACTCAATATGTTCTTGTCTTTTCGTTATTTTTTTATATTTAAAGTCCAACATTCTAACACGTGACATGTATAACACTTGTACTTCTTTGTTGTGGAGAAACACACAATTCTTAACTGTCGGATTGCGCAATAAATGATTTCGGCTTTTCCAATAGATAATGTTATTGTTTTTTACGCAGCACGTTGAAAAAATCGTGATATTTGATTACAACTTCGACAAGTGATTATTTCATTTACATGGCAAACTCTGCTTTGCCTGACGAAAAAAAAACAGATTTGAAAAATTCAAAATTACTTATTACGCAATATACATTTATGTTTTTTCTGTCAATGATTTTTTTTTTCTCCTTTTAACGACAACTCTCTTTGTTTCAGGGTGGTCGGAGCGATGGTGGTCAGCGCGGCTATCTGCAGCCGCATCCCCGGATTGACGAAAGGTCAGCGCGAGCTGTGCCGGAAATCGCCGCAGGCGATGCCGGCGGTGGGCGAGGGCGCCGCGCTGGGTCTGCGCGAGTGCCGGCACCAGTTCAGGCATCATCGCTGGAACTGTTCCCACGTGTCGTCGTCCAACGATCAGGTCTTCGGCCACGTGGTGGTAGTAGGTAAGGATTGTCCTGTCACCGCGCTCGATATTTATTACGCGCGTAATACACCTCGGATGCATGCGCGTCCGTACTTGCTCTTTGCGTGCCGCACGAGCGACATTGCCGCAAAAGGCGTCGGAGTAAATGGGATAAGCACTGGAGTTAGTTAATGATGAGATAATTAGCGTCCGTAATGGAAAATCGTGATAGAAAAGTAAAAAAAAAAAGTTTAGATATGTGAGGATTTATCGTTTAAACGCGCACATAAAATTGCATAACTTATTACCTGACCACACTAGTAGGCTGTATGTGTGTCGAAATATCTTCGATACGTTAGTTAAAGAAGACATACGGTCGTTATATCACTCTCTTCTATTGGTCGCCCGTAGCGACCTTTTCATTAAGGATTCCCATGCTGTATCGTCTCGTTTGCATCTTAAATGCCGAATTTTCTCTAATTATCGAATATATTTCCAGTAATTATACAATTTCGAAGCCAAATTAATCAGCCGGCCGTATATTTAGCCGTCCGTATAACTTACTTAGATTGAAAATTATTAGTTTCGTATAGCTAGCACATAGTTGAGTAAACCGACAGCCATATATCTCGATTCTTTCAACAATCTACTGTCAATAAATCAAAACGCACGTCTCGTGCATAAATATTCACGTCGTAGCCTATAATTTCACGAAGGCAATAAATAAAAAAATAATATGCATTCTTGTACGGAGCGTTCGGTGCAGGATATAACGGTAATACAGCGGAACAAGTTTTCGTTCGCATAAATCGCCGCACCTGAGCTTCGATCAAACTTCCGTCATTCTTCTCTTTACGGCGCAAAACCGAGAGTTCACGAATTTAAGGCCTCTTTTCAGGTTGCTTTAACGCTAATTCGAGGGGACACTTTATGTCGACGCTCGTCGTGCATTTTTATAGCGATTAGAATTTTGCATACCCGACCCGCAGTAGCGCACTTTTATCTCTATGGAAATCAGCAAAACGGCAAGTGGTAGTGGGCTATCACACGTACACATCCACGCGCGCGCACACACACGAAGTGCACAAAGTAAGGTCCGGTTTCTCGTGTTACCGTTTCATCGCAGCCTCCACGCCGAGCACACAACGCGCGAGAATAACTCATGTTAGAGGACCAGGATCGACTTGTCGCAACCTTGTGCAGTTTAAAACTAAAAAAAAAACATTTAAAATAGATATATCAAATATTTTTTTCCCTCCCAAAATTTTCGAAGCTGAAAAAATCCTTAAAATCAATTTTCTTAACATCAAGCGGTCTTGAAATTTTTCTTTAGTGCTTGGATATAAAATTAAAGTTGCGCAATCTAATTGTTATTTTAATCGCAAAAGAAGCAGAAAAGTGAAGCATCTCTCGCGAGACAAAACGTGCAATTATTTAAAGACGCATTTGATATACGACAGGCATCCTTAGTCGCCTCTCTCAATTTTCGGTGGCCGCAAACGTAACTTAATATCAAGCGCCGCGCGTCGCGGTGGCAGGTCGGCACCGGTGACAAACGGCGAAAGCGATATTTCTCGCGGACAAGATAATCCCCGGTCCTGTGAGCGGAAGCTGATGTGTGATCCGCGCATAAATATCGTTAAATACGACATATTTGTCATCTGGGCATTAAAAGCGCGAGCCACGGGAGAATAAACGTCCCACGTCGAGAACCTACCCTGCGATATACAGGATGTCGCATCTCAAGTTCGAAGATTTTCGCAAATTTTTCAAACCCTCAAAGACGAACGAAAGACATAATCGAGAAAGACTCTTTATCTAGAAAGAAACGTATGATCTCTAAAGCTGAGATTTCTGAAATACATTATTCATTTTACTTCTAATTCTAAAATTTTCAACTTGAAACACCCTATACACGAAAGTCAGCGACACAGCAGAATAGTGCTTCGTGGTGGCAGCGATTTCTCATGATTAACCGAACGGATTAAGCCGACGTGGTGGAAGAATCGAAGAGAGCAAAGCCTGGTAAACACGATGTGATTTACAACGCGCAACGAGACATGCATACTTTGTTACCCGTCGTCTTGTTTGTACGAGGCTCATCCGTCACCATCGAGAGATTCGCGGGTTGTGGCTTCTGGAATTCAACGCTAAGTAATACACACGCACACGCACAGGTTTAAAACCCTGCGAGAGGGATTAGAAGTGAATATCGTGATTGCACGCAGATATTCGCATAAATCACGAAGGCATAGGACGGTATCCGATAATTAATTACAACTTTATCATATTGATGACGGTCGTTACTTTTTCATTCAAGTTTATGCGATTTCGAAACGATGTTGCAGAATTTTTGCTGATGTACCGTCGCGCGGATATTTACGTTCAAATATTTATTAGAATTTACTGCCTTTCTTTTTGCTGTCCATGAATTTTTGCGTAACTCGATAATATAAAATCTAAAATCGAAGAAGATGCATACAGGATGTTTTTCAAATAAGAAATAAGCGGAAATATTTACGCTCGCCGACGCGAGGCGGAGAGCGAAAATAGCGGAGGAAGTCGAGCGAAAAATAAGAAGACCAGAAATTAATACGCAAAAAAAGTATAAATAACGCTTATAAGAGTGGGGCGGGGAAAGCGGAGGGGAGGGCAGGGAGCAAACAGGGCGGTCGGTCGCTAACTTAATTAGTGAAATTAACGGGGCCGGTCGACATGCCAAAGCTAAGTGCGGCGATACACGGTTTAAGATATTTTCCCGGTCTTAAAATGCTCGCATTATGCACTCCGTATAATCCGTGAGTACACATAGAAGTACAGAGGTAGCCTCGAATTAAACGGACGATTAACACACTTGGTTAAAAACCGAACGAACGGGCAACGGATGACGTACAAGGTAGGCCGAGACACGCTCTGCCTGTCGAATCGTCTAAGGCTCTTGCTCGTTAGAAGCGGCCGCGATAAATGAGCGGTATAAATTTCTGGTAGCGCCGTATACACAAAGTATCGACTCTCGGAGATAACTCTGATTTATCTGCATTGTGAGAGAGAAATATAGACGCCTCGGGGCGCGCAGTTTCAATATCTCCGAGACATATACATTATACCGCGTACCGTTTTCTCTCTCCGCGAAGGCATCATCATCGCTGACTCGCGTAATCGCGTGTCGGGCGTGTTAAATGTTGGCGATATATAATAGATACGGATGCGATTAAACGTAATTAGGCGCCGTCGGTGGACGTCGATCCGAAAGCCGCTCATTACGGAAGCCGCGAAGACGCTGCTTAAAGCCGATGCGAGACGTTGCGGCCCACTCGGACGATTCACGATGAATATATTTTCATAAATTAGGCGGAGACCCGGGGCATGAATCGCGCGCGAAATCTGTCCGAGATCCGAGACCGTGGGCGGCGATCGCCTAATCGTCCAAATGAAACGGCGTAATTAAGAGATCCATTACACAGACGGCGGATGCGTTATCGATTATAAATTCAGGCGAATCGGACGACGTTCCTGCGGCAACGACGTCATCGCGCAAAATTGCGCAAAGATATTTCGCTAATTTCTTATGTCCTCGATAATCGTCTCGGCTGTTTGGAACAAATAAAATTTCGCGAGGTGAGCTTATCTCGCCGCGCTATCGCCCTTATCAGGGAGAAACTCCGCGCATATACGTAGGTTTCGCCGGCGGGCAAATTTTATTCCGCGCAACGACAAAGTAAGCTCGGACCGCACAGCGAACGGGCGATAAGCGAAGGCACGAGAATGAAGGTCGAGGAGGACAAAGAAAACGCAAAAGATCGGGTACACCGAGGATACCCTCTTCTGCCCTCCTCGCTCGGATAACGTTAGCGAGAATGCTGCGTTAATGCAGCGTCTTATCAATCTCTGCCGGGCCCGATAGAGCGCCCCTTTCTGCGAGCTCGTTTCCCCTCTCGTCCTTCCGCGCGCCTATATCCGCTCTTCGCGCTCGTGCACTTTTTTCATCTCTTCTCGACCTCTTATCCGTCTCAAATAACTGGACTGGCCCACACTCGGCGCTCTCGCATGGACACACCTACCTACCTGCGTCTACCTGCCTTTACCTGCTCGCCTGGTTGCCTGCACTTCCCCCCTTGGTTCTACAAACGACGCATTCATTCTGTTCGCATCGATGTACGCACGCATATTGAGCTATATCGCGCGGACGACCGTGCGAAATGGCGCACACGTCGGCTTCGGCACACGCGCGCGCGTGTATACAGGATGTAATGGTGGTGCACAACCTGCAGAAGGAAGTCGGCGCGACTCTCTCTCTCTCTCTCTCTCTCTCTCTCGTCGTGTAAAGATAAATCAGGAAAGCAAAATAACTTTCTATCCGCATTTTCGAGAACGCCCGAAAATGTAAAAATTACAAAATTAATGGTCTTCATTTTATTATTGTTTTAATTAACAATCAATCCATATATGTTTGCGTCGCCGCATCTCGTTTATCAATCGACCGGCTTTTACAATCGGAAAGTAAAGCAATACATTGAAGCCCCGATGTAATTGTATCGCGCGGCAACGCGGATCAATCTATCTCTGCCAACTTTATCTTACCGCTAATTTGTTCGATAGATCGTTCAGGTTCGCGAACAGCGGCGGTAACGTCCACATGGAAGAGTAAATCTCGTGTATCTGCTGTCTCGCGAAGTAACTAGACTAGATAATGCGTGTATGTGAGTGAGTGTGTGTGTGTGTGTGTGTAAAGGTACCGAGATGAGAGGAGTTCGTCTTCAAGAATTTATGGTCGGCGCAGAAAATTACCATCTCCCGCGGCGTCCCGCGGATAGCCGCGGAACTGATATTTATTCGAAGGTAAATTGCAAACCCGGGTGCATTTAGATAACTACGAAATCACGGATGGAATACGTCGCGTCAGCCGCGGGGATAAGCGTCGGGCTGATCGTACGCTCGATTACGCTCTCTCGTCGGGACCGCGCGATTGCGTTCCGAGTAAATTCGGACGTCGCACGCGCGCGCGCGCACACGTGCATCGTAATTCGCCATAGATAGTCCGCGATAGTAATCGACCATCAGGCAACAGATCGTACGGGAAGATGCGGCGAGAGGGAATCTCCATTTACAACTAGATGAGTCGCCCTCCCCTCCCCCTCCCCCCTCCAATTATTGGCTACGATCTTGGGCTCGTGCGCTCAGCGCTGATCTACCTGCCGCAGGCGAAGAGAAAGAGAGAGGAAGACCGCGCGCGCGCGCGCGGAGAGACGCGAGCGGGATCGATATAATTCAACGTGCTTTAGCGTAGAAAAGTGCCAACGGCGAAGCGGAGCGCGGCGCGGATTGAGTTATGGTCCGGTGTGCGCCGGGGCGCTCACTCGAGTCCCCGGGGGCTCTCCCCGTCTGTGGATATAAGGCCCTCTTTAAAGCCCCGTATAAATAAACTAGTTAATAAATTAATATATCACCAGCGCGTATCTCGTCCCCCGTGGGCCGCTGCCGCGGACAAGTGCCCCTGCGAAAATCGCCAGCGAGACGACCGGGGCCATTAATAACGACGCGAGGGAGCGAGAGGGAGAGAGAGAGAAAGAGAGAGAGAGCGAGAGAGCGAGACGATGAATTCGCGCCGCTTGTCGCCGCTGCCCTTCTTATTAAGATGTAACCGGTCATCGGGAGCGGTGTACGATAAGTACCTTCCAGGAAAACGCTCGAGGAGGGTTGGGTAGTCGCGCGATTCTTTTTTTTTT